AGGCCCAGTCCCTCCTCATTTTGTGCTTTATAACTTAATTTGTGTACATTGTGAGCTTGGCAGCGATCGGTGAAGTTCGCTTCTTGCTCTACAATGATGACGATGATGATGTAAAGAGTTTCCTCAGAAATCACTATGGGTTGATCAATCCTATTGCTCGGACCTGAGTTGGCTTCGGCGGTCAAGCGGTGAACTTATCGTCTCGGGGGACTGGTGTTCGAATCCCATCATCACCGCCACCACCACCACCATCCGTTTTTCCCCATTTCCATCTATAACAGACGTTTGTCTGTTATCTTCCTGAAATTTTTCCTATTATTACAATATGTATTCAACCTAAAGAATAAAACAGAAAATGAAAAAAAAATTGGAATCCGATGTGCCATCTATATACAAGCTTGTTTAATGTCAGCCCTTGAGAAGACATACACAACGTTAACATTTCGCGGCATTTGTCTTCGCTTGTGTCGAATTTATTCTCATCTACTGTGATGTTTTCCTGCACTGTGAAACCTCTCGGTTCGCGCGGTAGATAGCTTCACTGTCTCCCGTTTCAATATCATCCTTGCATTAGTGGTTGATTATGCAGTTTGCGCTTCATACCCCCAAATACCCTTGTGATTATTTTCGACTTTTATACGGCAGACAGGAAAGGAAGTTAATCTCACAATTAGAATGACCGCTGCACAGTTAGGATAAAAGGACATTAATCTAAAACCAAACCGTCTGATTATGCGCTTGAATATGAAGAGGTTCCAAGAACCAGGTAAAACTGGATACTTGAGTGTACTGTCGTTTGACAGGCTTTGAGAACCACCTGGCTGATTCTCACGATAAAATAAAGGTGAAGGATGGAAGCGCCAGTATGGTCGGGGGTGGGTATCTAGGGTCGCGCTTGGTTCCCGTTGCACCTCGCAAAATGCTCCTATACGACCACGCGTTTTCCCACCAAAATGAGAGGACGAAAAGCGGACATCCGGGCTGGGTGACCACTGGTAACTCATCCCAGGGATTTAGCCAAAAACCCTGATTCCAAACTAACCAAAAAGAGATGTACGAACCATCTTGAACGTTTGACCCCGTCCAAAGGGCGTATGATCCGATGAACTCGACACCGGCCCCCACTAGATTGCGGTTTTTACACACCGCTCCACCTTGCGGGTCAGGCTTTGGCTAGCCAAAGGTTCCGGTTGTGAACTCCCCATTAGAATTCACCTGCTTTGACCAGGGCAACCTAGTAGTATTGCTCCCTCGAGCAGATAATAAACCTTTTTCCTTTCTTATGGAAAACATTGTACTGTTATTTGTTTGGCATAGTCCGGCGTCAGACGCGCGATATACATACACACACATATATATATATATATCGGCATAGGCGTTCGTACACCATAAATCTACTCCTTGCACGGAATGAGTGGACAAAATCCGTTGATGCAGGCCAGCCACTGTGTATAGTTTATTTAAACTTCTCCAAGGCATTTGATCGAGTAAACCACCAAATACTGCTGCGAAAACACTACAACTACGGCGCAAGAGATTTGGTTCTGGACTGGATCAAGGAGTTTCTCCGACGAAAGACCCTGTCAGTTCGTGTTGGTGATTCATTATCAGAGCCTATCACCGCTACCCGAGGGGTTCCTCAAGGATCCTTACTGGGACTTCGTCTCCTGGCATTTATAAACGACCTGCCACATGTAATTGGGCCTAATACACTGCTATTTGCGAACGACGCTAAGATCTGGAGAACTGTAACACATCCTGAGGATTATATAACACTCCAACAAACGATCGATGCAGCCCACCGATGGTCAATCGCCAACGACATCGAGTTCAACTTTTCCAAATGCAGAGTTATTTCCATGTGGCATAAGACTCAGTTCTCCTATGTTCTGGGGAACCAAATACTACCGCATACCACTGATGAAAAGGACTCGGGAGTTACGGTACAGGAGGATGTAGGATGTTCCACGCACTGTGCCAGAGCATCATCCATGGCCCTAAAGCAAGTGGGACTACTCAGACATGTTTTCGGGAAGTTCGAAGGAGCACTGTTCCCACACTTGTTATCAGCGTTCGTTCGGCCACACACGGAGTACACCGTTCAAGTATGGAATCCATGGTTAAATCGCGACAAGAATGCTGTAGAACGTCCGCAAAGGCTGGCAACGAAATTCGTAAAAGGTCTGTATAACAAGACATACTCTGAAAGACTGCAAATATTGGGACTCTACTCATCCCAATACCACCGATTTCGACGGGACCTAATCTTGGCATATCACATACCGCATTAACCCAACCACCCTTGCCGTTCTATGCTGACTTTATCTCATAATGATCATCACAGGGGACGTTCACTAAAGGTGAAGACTCAGAACGGCCACTTTGATTGCCGGCATCTCTCGTTTGCAGTCAGAGAGTGCGGTGTATGGAATTCTCTTCCATCTGAATTAGTGTGTGCTTCTACAGTTGAACTATTTAAGTCGCAACTGGATAAAGTATTGGAACGCTTAAAATTTCAACATCCGTGAGTGGTCGTGCATATTATTACCATTGTTATTATCTTTTTGTGAAGTTATTCGAAATATTCGTATGGGGCATGCTGAGCTTTGGCTTTGTTAAATCGCCCATAATAAAACTTTGACTTTATATATATATATATATATATATATATATATGTATAGTGGAATGGAAGCGATGGACAAATTGAATGTTAGATGGGGGTTGGGGCGAATCAGTGACCAAATAAATCACTTTACACTGAACCCAGTCCTATAAGTTCAAAGAGGACTCGGAGATCCCGCCCCAGGCGAGACCACTATATTCCACACGGACGCTGATTCCGGCCCTGTAAACTGTAAAACTTTAAGACGGAGTGAAAGACTGTTTTGTGCGGCGGTAGTCAAAATGGAGACCTAGAGGTCCTGAGTTCGA